CAGTGGTTTTCAACCTTCCTGAGGCTGCAACCCTTTAATACTGTTCCTCTGTTATAGTGACCCTCAACCATAAAATTATTTTCATTGCTGTTTTATAACTGCAATTTTGCTGTTATGAACAGTAATGTAAATATCTGATATGCAACCCAGAGGGGTCACAAACAGGTTGAGAACCACTGCTCTACAGCAAGGCCACTAGATCAGAGATAGGTATATTGTGAAGAAACAGGACTTTCAGATACAAATTCTAGTGTAAGATGAACAGAGGACAACACACATCTCTCTTTTATGTTGTCTTGACTGTAAGCACTGCAGCTCAGCTGGAAAGGCATCCTAGCAGTCAGGAGCCAAGGAATACCTCAAACAACAGTGTAACAGCCTACAGTTCTGCTCTAGAAAAAGGTTTCACCAATGAAAGCATAATGACTATGCTCTGCTAGGGGAAAGTTTCCTCAGCAGTTCTGCTCCACTCAACATTGCTCTGGTCTTGGGAAAGTTGTTACACTTCCCCTCCTGAGAAAATGTCACACCGCACAACAAACCTCACTCAAGAGATTTATTGGGAAGGAAACATCCAGGAGAGTGGCTGCCTCTAGGGTGAAAAGCAGTAGCAAAGTGAACAGGGTACAGAGTTTATTTATATAGGGTTTCTTGGGGGTGGGACAGAGCTTTCCAGGGTGTCTTGGGATTGGTAGGATTCTGCAGTCTGACTCTCGGGCAAGCTTAGGGATTGGTGGGATTTCAAGTCCTTGGCCCTGGTCTTGGGGTCAAGTCAGGGTCAGGGTGTTTTTCCTAGCCCTCTTTTACCTTAGAGGGCATCTGGGCAGATCCAGTAGTTTCTTTTTCTCTTCTTTTTTTTTCAGACAGGGTTTCTCTGTGTAATAGCCCTGGTTATCTTGGAACTCACTCTGTAGACCAGGCTGGCCTCAAACTCACAGAGATCCACCTGCCTCTACCTCCCTAGTGCTGGGATTGAAGGCTTGTGCCACCATTGTCTGGCCCAGTTATTTCTTGTTGTAATATTTTATTATTGTTCTCTATGACTCTTGGGAAGGTACTGAGTTGTTTCTCTCCATATTACCTGGAGATATTTATTGGAATTCTAAATTAGTTCTAGGTCTATAAATTGGGCACAGAGAACAGGTACTTTGTACATTCTTTTCCACTACAAAAAGAAATCATGCTAGCCACAGGCAGCATTGACATGTGGACAAACATATTTCCTGGCTCAAAGATTTATATTTTGGATAGGAAAATTTGGAAGGTCAATGCAGTGTCACTAAATTGATTAAGAGTAGGTTCCTGCTCCAAATAACTCTCAGCAACAAAGCTCAGCATATTTAAAGAAAAAAATCACAATGACATCATTGTCAGGTATAAGTAAAGGGAATCTGGTCACATTTGTTTTGACTATACAACTGGTAGATATTTTGGTTATGTATCTGAGCCATGGAAAGCCCTGCACATGCTGACGAAGTGGATGTGGCTATTTAAGGCGTTAAGGAACTGAAAAAGTTCCTGAGCAGTCACAAAATGGAGTCAGGGTGCAGGCAGTACCTTAGTCACGTCATTCCTTATTTCTATGAAAGGGCAGGTACTAGTTCCTCAGGATCATTAGCCCTCAGAGGAGAATGTCAGCCATGGATTCCAATCAGTCCAGACATGGAACCAGGGATTAATGGCCTTTTAATGGAAAATGTAAGGAGCAACTGTTATTTGGACACATAGTTAGGGATAACTCAATAAATAAACCAGATAATTTTAAAAAATAACTATTACTTTTATATAGTCATTGGGGCTAGCCCACAGGAAACATTGTGGCCAATATTACCAGGAGTCCAAGGGGAAGCAGAATGTTGTATACATAATAAAATCTTAAAAAAAAAACCCAAATTATGTAAATGACAGGTGGTGATTTGAATAAGAATTTCCCCCATAAACTGTGAGGTGCTGATCTGTGCCTTTAATCCTTGCACTCAGGAAGTGGAGCCAGGTGGATCTCTGTGAGTTTAGAGGCCAGCCTGGTCTACAGAGCGAGTTCCAGGACAGTCAGGGCGACATAGAGAAACCCTATCTTGAAAAGCAAACAAAAATAAGAACAAAAAGTGGTTTCCATAAACTCATATGTTTGAATGCTTAGACATTTCTTCATGGGTGGTGGCCGGGGCGCTCCACCTGCCTCTGCCTCCTGAGCTGAAGTTTCAGAAGCCCATGCTAGACAGAGATCTCTCTTTCTCTGCTGCCTCAGGTTGTAGAACTCTCAGCTACTTCTCCAGCACCAGGTCTGCCTGTCTGTGTACAACTATGCTCCCTGCCATGATGATTATGGACTAAACTCCTGAGACTGTAAGCAAGCCAATTAAATGCCCCTCCCCCCCTTTTCATAAAAATTGCCTTGGTCATGGTATCTCCTCACAGCAATAGAACAAGTGACAAGGACATGGCACACTGTAGCAAATTAAGATACCCTATACACAGACTTTTAACTATCAACATTTTCTGTTACAAGTGTTTTTGTTGTTGTTACTGTTTTTTGAGACAGGGTTTCTCTTTGTAGCCCTGGCTGTCTTGGAACTCTCTCTGTAGACCAGGCTGGCCTCCAAATCACAGTTCTGTCTCTCAAGTGCTGGGATCAAAGACATGTGCCATCACTGCCCAGCTGTTACACGTTTTAAGCAGACTTTTTCTCTTGGAATTTTACAGCTTATAACCCCTCTAGCCTTTCCCAGGCAGCCATGATCTTACAGATCCTGGAAGTATGCATTTCAGCAAAGGCTTCAGAAACATCAGAAGACCCAAAGTGAGGGGAATACTCAGACAATTACATGGACATCTTTTAATCTCTTAGTTGTCAGGGGCTGGAGAGATGGCTCAGCGGTTAAGAGCACCAACTGCTCTTCCAGAGGCCCTGAGTTCAATTGCCAGCAACCACATGGTGGCTCACAACCATCCATTATAAGATCTGGTGCCCTGTTCTGGTGTGCAGATATACATGGAAGCAGAATGTTGTATACATAATAAAAAAAAAAAAAAGAAGAAAAAAAAATCTCTTAGTTGTCTCTGCCTCTCAAGGGCTGAGATTAAAAGTGTGTGGGGCACCACTACACCCACCTTCCAGGCATATGCAGTGCATGACAGAGACACAAAGCCTTTTTAATAAGATGATTCTGAGGCTGTGGGAATGGGCAAGTTATCCAAATAAGATGGCAACATGCAGAGTGTGCTGCCCATTTCCTTAAATATTAGAATTTAGGTACCTGGCCAAAAACGGGTAGCAGGGGACAGGAAGGAGACTAAAGGGTCATCATTCCCTTTCCCATGACAACCCAAGTTGAAATGGCACCTGCTTATCCCAAACCCCTAGGGACTACCCTATGTGTAGAGAAATTATTCTATGTAGGCATGATTTGGGAGGCCCCCTCCTCAGCTAGACATGTTAACAACTGTGGTCAGTGCAATGTGGGTGAAACATTGTGTCATAAAGCATATACCACACCACGTAGTTCTGCCAACTTATCCTTTTCCCTCTTCTGCAAAGCCTGCATGCAGCAGCTTATGGACCACAGAAACAGTGAGGCATAAACCCTTTCCATATTGACTTAAGTCCGTAGGCTAGCATGATCTGATTAGCAGACAGGATCAATTCCCACTCTTAACACTCCTGCAATACTCCTCATACCCCATTAAGAATGATCAGTGTAGCTGAAAATGATACTGCAGCAGGAAAGCTCCCCCCACCCCAACTCAGGAAAGATGGCCCCACCTCTCACCATAGGCATGCACCTTGCCTGGGCAGCACACTAGAGCCAATCCTGTTGTCAGGAGAGCCAACCCCTCCCCATCTGCCATGTGGGGGCATGGGTGATAGAAAGGTACCCCTACCACTTTGCCCCCTACCACTTTGCTAACTGTGGCGGGCAAAAGAACTGGCCCTTGATTGCTAGAGAGTTGGAGAGCTAGCCCTGTCCCTCACCAGCTGCATCACGTGGGAAATTTGGCCTTGTGCCCAGCCTGGGCAGTACACTGGAGCTGACCCTGTTGGTGATGGTGCAGTCGGGAGAGACTGCATATGCAGTGCATGACAGTGGCACTCACCCTACATAAGTCCCTCTGTTTGTTCAGTTATTGGCCATCCTTTCCCACACTGGCAGAGGCAGCCACTCTCCTGGATCTTCACCAGCAGAAGAACCTTTGCTGAGACTTTCCCTTAGGGAGGGACTGTGCAGAATAAGTAACAACTTGTCACTGGAGCCACAGGAGATTGCTACATTCCTGCAGGAGTTTCCCCTTTAGCAGAGTGAAGCAGAAGTAACATCCTGGGCAGAGCTGAGAAGAAATTTTAACAGATACCTCTACTGGGAAGCCCCCTTAAAGGGCAGCGGCAGTGGTGGAGAAGAGCTCAGAGCTCAATTGTAAAGGAGCAGGATTGCTACATCCTGAGGGGAGACCATCCCCCACAGCATCCCAGCTTCAGGTATAGCCTGATTCCCAACAAGTCAGGATGCCTTTCCCTCCAGAGCTATAACACTTGCAACGATGAGATGATGATGATTCTTCCTCCTCCTCCTCTTCTTCCTCCACTTTTCTTTTAAAGTTTTTGTTTTGTTTTTGTTGGGGGGGTTTCTAGAGCGGAGGGAGGATGGGGGGATGGGTGAGATGGGGATACATAAAGTGAAATCCTAAAGAGTCAATAAAAGTTAAAAAAGAATGATCAAAGATTAACTCAATAAATTTTTTAATAGTTTTCAGAATATAAGCTGCATAGCGTTTTTGAATAAAAAATAATATAACTTTAAGTACATGCTTCAGGACACTTTGTTAAACAATAAGCAATCTGTCTTTGATGACCACCATATAAAGGTAGCACACACTTCACAGTGTAGCCTGCAAACAGACATGGAGACAGATGTACAGCACAATGTTTACAAACAACATTCAAATACAACACAGCACATGATTTCAAGTATTCAAACACTGCTTTCTGGCCAAGTAAAACTGTCCCCACCCCCAAGCAAACAAAACCCAACATTACTGTGCTCTGTGTGAGTGAGGGGGGATGGGGCTATTTAGCTCTTGTGGATACAGCATTCTTTTATTCCTTTCCACAGTGAGACTGGCTCAGGGTAAGCCGAAAGCAGTATGAGGAATAGTTCTTCCTCTTAACAGTGGGGAAAGGTGGCTAAAGAAATAAATTACAGCAAGGGGCTACGGCAGTCAGAATGAAGAAAGGGAGAGTCACCTTTCTACTATTGCATAGTCTCCCAAGCAGCCACTGTGAAGGGCACAAAGCTGCTTTGTTTTTTGCACAGCTCTATGATCATCTTTGCTAGAACTTTGCTGGTTGCTTTATGCGAACATCCCTGCACTGTTTCCTGCTTTCTGAGCAGGATAAGTAGTGCCCAACCAAGTGTAGACCTTAAGGCAGGGTCCAAAATGCCGCTCCCTTTAGTCCTTTCTCCAAAGGAACTCAGAGAATGCAGCCATAAGCTCCTGGAAGCATTTCTTCAAGAAGGTGTTAAAGTCACTGCCACAGGAAAGCAGGTGGCTGGACACCAGCACAGCAGGGAGTTCGAGAGCTTGTGTTAAGCTCTGCTATGATGTAAATACAAACATAGTGCAATAAGTATTTTTTATATAACCGCTTTATACATTAAAAAAAAAAAAATCAGATCAAGACGAAGTCCTATCAGAGCACTGAGTTCACAAACAGTTGTCTAAAGGGAGCACCAGGGGAAGATGACAGCCTCACTACAGACTGTTTCTGCTCTATGAGTCAGATGCTGTCACCAGCTCAAACCACTGCCTCAGAGCGTCACTGAGGGTCTCTGGAAGTGCATTCACATCTCGGAGAATGATGTAAAATGGAAATGGGAACTCTTCCATGTAAGATCGGATTTCTGGCATCTCTCCTGGTCCTTTAAATATTGGTACTTTAATATCCAAGATAGAATCCTGTTAACAAAAGACATTTTGAAAGAAATAGGAAAATTAGACCATATCCTTGACTATGTGGTGACCCACTAGTTGACCAACTTTTTTGTTCCTACATAAGAGAAATTTCCAAAATGTTCATCAAGGCAGCTCTTTTTGAGTTCCCTTTCTAGGGCAAGGAACAATTCAAGGAAGAGGAACAAATAAGAAACTACTTTCCTTGCAACATTGTTTCTAAGGAGAAATCTCCACTCACCCTGACAGGCAGGATCAGTGCACTGTGCAGCTACAGGCTTCTTCAGACCTCTAGTTTCTCAGCTGCTGGATGGTGGCAAAGGCTGGTCCCTATTTAAAGCAGCTCAGGCCCACTTTGACAACTGCCCTACTTTTCATATACAGGGGAGGAAACCATACTCCAGAGTAGGGCTTTAGGAATCTGCGAATCTCTGCTCTCCTACACGTGACCTATATCATATTCTTTCTGTGTTTGGGAAGGATGTTCTTCACTGTGTGAAGCTTTTTTTTTTTTTTTTTGGTTTTTTTAGAAAGGGTTTCTCTGTGTAGCTTTGGGGCCTGTCCTGGCACTTGCTCTGGAGACCAGGCTGGCCTCGAACTCACAGAAACCCCCCTGCCTCTGCCTCCCGAGTGCTGGGATTAATGTGTGAAGTTTAATGAAGAAAAGTGCACAAAGCACCAGCACCCCAGATGACAGTGCAGCAGTCATACTTCAGAACAAGTTCAAAGGGGCCCTTTACCTGTAGAATCATGGCTTTTGGCGATCACTCACCCGTGAATTGGGATTATCCAACACAACAAAAATGACGAAGATGTTGGCATTCTGGGCAGCCTGGACTGCTGCCAGGACTCTGTCTTTGCCTTCAAGGAAAAGGCCTCGTCCATCAGAAACTATGAGAAGTAGCTGTGCTGTCTCTGTAGAAGCCGTACATTAGAGGAGGGAGGGAAAAAGCAAAACCCATTTAACAATTGAAAACCATCTGTGGGCCCTCTAAAGCCAAACAGATCCCTGGAACTGCCACATTTGCAGACACAGGAGAGGCCTACAGTCAGACCTATTACATAGGACAGACAAGACACTCAATTGATCAGTATAGAGGTGCTTCAGGGAAAGTCAAATTTAGATCAACTTCAATTGTGAAACAACTGACATCCCCTGTTCCCCACAGGGTTTCTCTGTAACAGACCTGGCTGTCCTGGAACTAGCTCTGTAGACCAGGCTGGCCTCTAACTCAAAGAGATCTGCCTGCCTCTGCCTCCTGAGTGCTGGGATTAAAGGCGTGCGCCACCACTGCTTGTCTAAAGATTTTGTTTGTTTTTATTTTATGTATATGAGTGTTTTGCAGCATGTAAGTGCACCACATCCATGCACAATCTACACAGGCCAGAAGAAGGTATCTATTCTTCTAGAACTGCAGTTAGAGGCAGTTGTGAAGTGCCATGTGCTTGGAATTGAACTTCTTTCTCCATAAGAGTAGTAAGTACTCTTAATCACTGAGCTATCTCTCCAATCCTGTAACTGACTCTAAAGTAAAGCAAGTGTGGGCACAGGAGATTCAGTTGTCAGTTAAGTAGTAAGGCATTTGCTACTTAAACTGACAACCTAAGCTGATTCCTTGGGGCTTACACGATGGAAGAAGAGTTGGCTCCCACAGGCTGTCCTGTCAACTATGTGCTTAAGTTTATGGACTCCAACGACCACAGAGATGAGCAGGTCACCTGAAGTGATCAAATCAGGGACCTAGAATTATGCCTTCCAAATGTCATTCGTATATATATATATATATGTATGTATGTATATATCACTTCCTGAATTTTGCCAATTCCATGTTTCTAATTTCCTTCCCTTTCCCTGTTCTCTATTCCTGAACCAGGGCTAAATAACTGGGGTATTTCAAGCCTGAAAGCAACCAGGATTACGTTAACTCAATTCCATCACCTTACTCCATTCCCTTATAACTCTGAACTTTATCACATAAATATGCACTAATTTGTATCTAACACTTTTATCACTTATAAGCATTGAAAATGAGTTCAGCATAAATTTCAGGATAAATAATTTCACTGATTTCACTGATTTCATCTTTTTATGTTTTTCCTATAGAGAATACATTTTTAAAAAGGTGATGGGGGATTAGATGGACTTAGGAGATGGCTCAGCTTGTAAAATGTTTCTATGCAACCATGACTTAGGATTTCCAGTGCCTGCATAAAAGTCAGGTGTGACAATGCATGCCTGCAATCCCAGTGTTGGAGACAGGGAGATGGGAAGAAACCCGGGATTTAATGGCCAGTCTAGCTGTGAACTCCAGGTTCAGCAAAGGATCCTTTCTTAAAAAATAAACAGGAACAAAGCAGAGTGATCAAGGAAGACTCCCAATATCACCCTTGGGCTTGCACACACACATGCATCTACATATATTCATGAACACATATACACTCACTCATGAATTAGAAACAAAACAGATGGTGATGGGTAGAGAAAGATGAGAGAAGCAATTTGTTAGCCAAGGGGAGGAGTGTGGCTCACCAGGAATGATGTTCTGTGACAGCTTCTGGGCAGCTGCAAACATCTTGGCTGCAGATTCTAGAAACTAAACAGAACCAGCACAGATTAATACTAACCCCCCTCCTAACTAGAGAGATTCTATGGCTTCTGATATATGGCCTGTCTTCATACTATGCACAGTTTACCAACAAGCACTGGCATGCTGAAGTACAGACCAGACTGTCACTGCCCAGTCACTCTATTAGTGTCCTACAAGACACCCCAAAGGAAGAAAGATGACAATAATATGAATAGCCATGAACAAAACACTTTCCTTCTTTCAAGAAAATAAACCTGTTGAGCAAAATAGAAGATAGCCTGAAAGCAAGAACTAAGAACAGAGGAAGGCTGTTGTTTCACCTTCCTCAGGAAATCCCTAGCTTTACTTGCCATCATTTTGTCTCTAGGCTTAATGGGAGAGAGCCTAAGTCCAACCCAGCAGACCAATAGGATACTGAACAATAATCTTATGTTTTCAATATTTTAAGCTGCTCAACTGTGATAACATTAATGATCTTTGAGGACTGACAAAAAGGGATCACACGTTGGCTACAGGATGCTAAGGAAACTGTTCTGGTAGCATATAGGTTGAGGTTAGTACTGTGTATGTCAGGCTACCTGTCCTAATTCCAAAAAGCAAACAGGGGATTCTAGAAATTAATGTCTCTTAACATCAGCTTTAGAATTTTACTTTAAATGTATGAGTGGTCTGTCTGCATGTACACCTTTATGCCAGAAGAGGGCATGAGATCCCACTTAGATGGTTGTGAGGCACTATGTATTTGCTGGGAATTGAACCAAGGACCTGTGGAAGAGCAGCCAGTGCTCTTAACTGCTGAGCCATGACTCCAACCCCCAGTTTTACAATTTGTGCAAACGAATCTTGACTTCATCAGAGTACCTGAGCAATCTTAGTCTTCCTTTGTTGGAATTTGCAGAGCCGTAGAATTTGAGACCCAGAAGAATCACCAAACTGCTCATGGAACGGATGCAACAGCTTTACTGACTCTCCAAAACTGGAATGAAAACCACATACAACGTGATGTTTTCTAGTCATGTGATCAAAACAACGAAGGTTGGGAACAGGATTTCCCCACTGGGATTAAAAGACGACATTAGAGCTGGGCGGTTTTGGCACACATCTTTAATCCCAGCACCCGGGAGGCAGAGGCAGGCAGATATCCCGAGATTGAAGCCAGCCTGGACAACAAAGTGAGCTTAAGGACAGCCAGGGCTACACAGAAAAACTCTCAAAACAAAACAAAAAGTCCAGTCCAAAGGTAACACTAGGGGATGAAGAGCTGGCTCAGTGGTTAAACTAAGAGGCTAAAGAGCACCTCTTCCAGAGGACCCAGGTTTGGTTCCTACCACACACACCCATGTGGTGGCTCACAACTGTCTGTAATTCCAGTTCAGGGGATGGGTATTGCATGCATGTGGTGCACAGATATACACAAAGGAAAGCATGCATACACATAAAATAAAATTTTAAAAAGCTTTAAAATGCAACATTACCTGCACACTGCAATCTGACCCACTTCCAGGAGGGTTAGAGCATTTCCAATCACAGCCAAAGACTCAAATGCAAGCTATGAAGAAGAAAGGAGAGTTTAAGGCATCAAAACCCTCTAAACCAAATGTGGTACATTTACACAACGGAGTACTACTCAGCAGAAAAAACAATGGAATCTTGAAATTTGCAGGAAAATGGATGGAACTAAAAGAAACCATTCTGAGCGAGGTAACCCAGTCACAAAAAGACAAACATGGTACTCACTCATATGTGGGTTTTAGACATAAAGGATTACCAGCCTACAATCCACACTGCCAGAGAAGCTAGTAAACAAGGAGGACCCTAAGAGAGACATACATGGTCCCCTGGAGAAGGGGAAAGGGTCAAGATCCCCTGAGCAAATTGAGCACGGGAAGAGGGGGGAGGAAGCTACGAGAATGAGAAGGGACGAAGAGGAGGGATGCAGAGGTCATGAGGGAGCAGAAAGGTTGAGTCAGGGGAAGAAAGGAAGAAAGGATATGTAATAGGTAGGGTTTTAGTTGGGGGGTGGTGGTAGGGGAGGACAGGAGAGAGAAGGGAACTGGGATTGTCATGTAAATCAATCTTGTTTCTAATTCAAATAAAAAAATGATTAAAAAAAACCTTCTCTAAACCAGTTTGCTTCAAGATTTCATAGAAACATTATGATTTGTATGGCAAAGAGAACAATGGTACTAAAATCAACTGATACAACCAATGCAGGCTGGAGTGCCCCTCAGACCCTTCTCTGTGATGTAGATGCTTCAACTTAAATGCATTACACCGATAGGAATGGTTCGTTCTGGATACTACTGAGAAATGTTTTGTAAGTGCAAATTTTCTTTCCATGACAGAGCCTACATACCCCGCCCCCCACCTCCAACAGGGTTTCTCTGTGCAGCTTTGGAACCTGTCCTGGAACTCACTCTGTAGACCAGGCTGGCCTCCAACTCACAGAGATCCACCTGCCTCTGCCTCCTGAGTGCTGGGATTTAAGGTGTGCACCACTACTGTGGGGCTCATAAAATCTTTTATATGAAACTAAAATTTCAATTCATTCTCATGCAGTAGTCAGACTACAGAAATGAGTTAGAAAACGTTATTACCAAGATTTTTAAGGCTTTCTGAGTCCTGCCTCCGCCCTGCAGATGGTCTTTTTTCCCTGTGTCAGACATGTGCATGTTTCCTCACCCACTCTGCCCCCAGTAAGCACCTTCCCTCAACTGCAGATTTTTGAGATTTCTCTGCTGCCATCTGCTGCCCTTGAGCTTTTTCCTGCCTTTTAATTCTTTAACAGGCAAAGAACATGAACCAAATCAAGACCCCTAGAATGCAACACTTACACCTTAAGAGTGCTGGGGAAGAATGGGTTTCGAAAATGGAAAAGTGAAAAAAAATTATGCTTAGTGTTTTTCTTTTGTGCTTCACTGCTCCAAGACCCTATGCAGTTTAAAGATAGGCCCAAAGAAACTGTAAGTATCAAGTCATCAAGATAACCTGAAATCCCCTAACACAAATTAATTCATATTTTGGAAATAATATTCCTGTCTACATAAAGAAAGCAAAAATCTATCTCACCATGAAATGAAGTGTAAGAAGTAAATTTTTATTCATTTAAAAATGGTTACTAGAGCTGGGTGGTGGTGGCACACACCTCTAATCCTAGCACTCAGGAGACAGAGGCAGCTGGTGGATCTCTGAGTTCAAGGCCAGTCTGGACTACAGAGCGAGTTCCAGGACAGCCAGAGCTACACCCAGAAACCCTGTCTCCACACATAAGTGTTTGGAGAAAATGTTTTAAGGTTGCCAATTTGTGGGTTCTAAATCTCAGGTTAGTGAGTAAGTTACAAATTGAAAATTATAAAGCAGGGAGCTTAAGGCATTTCTGTGACCTCCACCTCATTCCCCTTTGTACTCCCATGCAGCCAAGTTGTGAGGTAACAGGGTTGAATCCAGAGTCCAGTCTACATGCCTGGTGTGGGGAGCACACAATGGCCACATTGCAACACTAATGCCTCGCATCCAAGATTTTGGGATGTAGAATGGCTAAGGATGGCTAAACCACTGCCTTCTTTGAATACTGCCCAATTTTAACATTTAACAACTGTTGCCTTCATTTGCAGCAAAAACAAAGATTTAAAATTCAAAACACTCAAAAGGTTTTACACACTGACAGAACTTATGAGAAACTGGACAAGCAGCTAGTTAGCCTTTGTAAATGAAATGATTGTCCTATGTTTTTTCATTCCTCTGATGAAGCATGTCTTTAAATAAAGGATGAGGGATGACTGAAATGAACACAAAGTTAAAAAGTTTTAAAAATAAACCCTCCTTCATTTATTTTTCAATTTCTGGGCCAAATTGATTTAAAAAATTCTTTTGTCTTCTATATCCCCAAACCAACCCAACACAGAACCTAGATATAAAGAACATGCAGAACTGTGAGAAAATGAAAAAACAAAAGTAAAAAGTCTTATTACCACCCACATAAATGACAGCACAGTTTTAGAACAAATTAGTAAGAAAATGCATTAAACTATTTTAAATACTCATTATTTAATTTAATCTTCATCATCGAGGCAGCACTTTTATAATTCTTACCACCCCCCAAAATGAAGCTAAAAATAAGCTGCCTCAAGTTATGGAGAGGTGGGATGTGAACCACACTCAAAGGGTACTTTCTAAGTTTTTCCAGGAGAGCATTCATATTTTAGGTCAGTTATTGGCTTATACCAAATAATAACTGTAAAATAAATAGCATTCCCTAGAAATCAAATAGACACTGTTTTCAGAAACCCTATGATATGCAATCTTAAAAGAGTTTAATACATGTCTGTATTTTATAGAAAATTAACACAGCCAGATTTGTTCAGTGTAAAAACAGTAAGGGATAACATATCTGCACCATCATGGATCTGCCCTTTAGGCCCTAAAAGAACACACCTTCCTAGGCGGAGTCACCACATTCTTTCTGCCCAGCCATACTGATACAACCTGGACCATGGCTTGGTTTTCACTGTCCTCCTCACCTGTTTGGTGTGGTTGTCTACCATGCTGGAAGAGTCGTCAATAGCCAAACAAATCTGATATTGCCGTTTACTGGGCTTGGTCCTTCGAAGCCAAATCCTGTCTTTTCGGAACTGACTGGCAATGTATGGAATGATCTTCCTCATGTTCAGTCGCTTGCCTGTGCGGTAGTCTCCCCTGTTACAGGAACCCAATAGAAACACAGATGAACACAGGCTCATGCCTCAGAATTTCAAGTCAAAGTCACATTAATAATTAAATATACAGTATCAAGTATCTAGTCTTCAGGCAAAAAGAGGTGCTACCATTCACTGAGTCCCCTAACCACCAGCTAGAGCCCTGTTTTCAGAGCTGGCTGTAATAACTCAGTTTTTCCAGAGAAGCTAAGAAATATTTTACAAAATTAGAAAATACATTTTTCTGCATTAAATACAAAGCTGTATATGCTTCTCTTTTCTGCTCTAGACCATGACTTGCTGAATAACATAAACATAGTAAACAGCACCACGTCCAAGCCTTTTTCCACACAGCAGTAATGTAAACTGCTTTTATGCATATAGTCTTCACCACAGAAATGCATACACATATGGTTACTACTACAGCTAACAGGACAGTAGCACTACAGAACACCATATTGGTTGCCTAGATAGCAGAAGTGGCAACCCAGAAGCCAACACTTATAAATGTTCAGTGCTGAGCGCAACTGACACTGACCTCTAGGGGCCTCAAGAGGGAAACACTTACCTCAGCTTGGCTGCCTGTGTAGGTTCTAACAGCAGACGAAGCTGCTCACACAGCTGTTGTGAAAGAGATGCAGTTAAGATCAGGTAACTCTGCCACATCTCAGCTGCAGCCTTCTCCTAGGACAGCAAAACAGAAATTATTGTTAGACTGTTGAAGGAGAAAGAACTTGTATGAACCTTTTCAGCAAAAGCACTTAAAAGCTCTTCTTAGCAAGCAGCAGTTCAACTAAATCAATAAAAATGCCTCCTTGCCCCCAAACCTATAACTTACACAGTATCAAGAAAAGGAGTGAAATATGCCAATTAACAATGGGAATTCACAAACCAATCAACAATTTGCTCCTGTCACCTAAAGAATAGGACCTGTACACTTTGCATAGTGGCATATGTAGATGAGGGACGCCGGGTGAGGCTGACATAGCCACTCTGGGCTCTCATCAGTTCTAATAGCACGGATCCCTGGACATAAAGGCAGACACTCAATATACACGGGGTAGGAAGAATGATGCTAAACACAATACAGGTTTGCACATACTCCTCTATATTTAGAGGTTAAACCATGAAAATGAAATATACTCCACAGCCAGCAAAGATCTGGAAGACTGCAAGCCAACAGAGCATGAACTTTTGCTTAGTTTCCATTACAAAGCCCCAGCAATACAAGTTAAAGGAACCAAATACATATGCTTGTTGTAATGAGAGTATAGATCTAGAGGCAAAACAGGCAGCATCAGCAGATACCCAGGCTTAAAAAAGATTCTGACTATACAACTCTATTGGCCTCTCCCTTTTACAAATGTAACTGGAGTCAAGAACCTACTGACTTGTATCTTTAAAAGAAATAGGCAAAATAGGCAATACTATGTTGTGGAAAGAAAAACAAAACACCAACAGCTCTGACTTACCTCTTCTGCGTTCCCATAGTTGTGAGCCTGCCAGGTCTCCAGCTGTCGCTCCATCTCCTGTCTCAGCTCATTGACATCTTTTAAAAGGGGCTAAGAAGGAAAAGCTACAGTTAAGTGTTGGCCCAGGTTGCAATCAACGTCTGTCTTCCTATGGTGTGACCTTGTTGCAGCTATGTCTGAACTCACAACCTAAGCAAATTTAAGGGTGTCATCAAATGATTCCACTTCCTGTTTGCAAGACCCCATGGATGAGGGGAACTCTCATCTTTTATAAATACAGCCTAGTCAAATAAAAATAAACCAAGGCCTCCTTTTTTTTTCAATGTGTATACAGATGCATGTGTACATGCAGAGAGCAGAGGACATCAGACAACCTCAGGAGTTTCTCTTTCTTTCTGAAAAAAATTATCTCCACGAAGTCAAATTACTATGGGACAAGGACCAGTTACAAGGCTCCTCATGTGGCTGGAGAGATGGCTAAGTTAGTAAGTGCATATCTTGTAAGCATGACCTGAATTCTAGCCTCAGAACCCATGTTAAAAAAAAAAAAAAAAAGGCCAAGCATGCCAATACAATATACTTTTAATCAACACTAGGAGGTAGAGATAGATGGATCCCTGGAGCTGGTTGCATAGCCTACCTGGAAACATTCCAGGTCAGTCAGAGACACCAGTTTCAAAAAGGGAGGGAGGGAAGGAGGGAACGAGCGAGGGAGGAAGGAAGGAGGAAGGAAAGGAGAACATGGATAGCACACTTCCAAAGAATGACACCTGAGGTTGTCCTCTGGGTTCCACATGTACTCAAATACAAACAGACCCCACTGACTACCCGTGTACCTTCCCCCAGAAAGTTTCTTCCTAAACAAAAACATTAAGTAAAAAACTATTGCTATATAACTGTCATAAACTGTCAATTGTCCTCATGGCTCCTAACACTATCATCCTAACAGCCAATGCCAAGAACCAGTGACACCACAATGGATAAGTCTGGGCACGACTTTTGTAGTTAACAAAGGATGTACCATTAGCTAAAAGATTATGCTATACCAGGCTGGAGAGATGGCTAAGGTTAAGGGCACTAGCTGCTTGCTCCTCCAGAGGTCCTGAGTTCAATTCCCAGCAGCTACATGGTGGTCCACAACCACCTATAATGAGATATGGTGACTTCTAGTGTGCAAGCATACATGCAGACACAGCACTGTATATGCAATAAATAAATCTTAGAACAAAAGTTGTATTACAAGTCCTCCTAAAATTTTGGTAATAGTTGATATTCCAAACAATGAGCTATTCCACAAAGTTCTAAAGTAAAAGTTCTAAAGTTAACATTAAAAATACAGGTGTGAGTCCAATACTTGGAAAACTGTATCCACAAGGAATTGACGAAGTGTATGAATGGTTGAGTCTCGGCTTCTTTCTGGTTTCTCATTCTCTGTCTCCTGGTGAGATGTGGTTTTTCTTGGGTCTTGGTCTTCTTTTGCTTTAACTGTTTGAGTATCCATATCCATTTCATCAGAGCCTATTTTCATAGAAAGACATAGTTTAATTTATCACATTATTTGAAAAAAGACTGACCTGATCCTTCACTACTGCCTGTACTAACACTGAATCAAACTTCAACTCACTCAACAATTCCCACATGTGTCTCTCTGCTCCACGTTGACTCCTAACATCCTTTGGTCCTTGCTGTTACTGCCAATTCTTACTAATTCCCCTCCTGGAAGGGGAAATAGGAATGACCAAATTACCTCAAGCATTACAAGGATGTGACTTTTTTTTTTTTTTTTTTTTTATCCCGAGACAGGGTTTCTCTGTGTAGCTTTGGAGCCTATCCTGGAACTCCCTCTTTAGACCAGGCTGGTCTTGAACTCACAGAGATCAGAAAATCTGTCTGCGTCTGCTGTAGTTAAAGGTGTGCACCTCCATTGCCTGGCAAGGATGTGACTCTTTTGTGAATCCAGCATGTATGATGCCCTGGGTTTACTGCCCAGCACCACCAATTCAGATAACAATAAAATAAAAACATTGTTCTACAATGCAGTTGGGTTTGAATTCAGGCAAGTCTAATCAGCTTTCTGCAGCCGTTTTTAAAAGGTAATTGACTTTTATTGTGTGTGTCACACTGGTAGAGGTCAGAGGACAACTTTGTGGAGCTAGTTCTCTCTAGCCACCTTTATGAGGAGTTGGAGAGAAAGGGGTTCCCAAGGATCAAACCCAGAGCCAGTAAGCACCTTTAGCCCTGAGCTGCATTATCTCTTTGGGCCCAACTTTGCTTTTCCTATTGCTGTGGAACAGTTAATGACAGGAACGAGGCAGAAGAAAAACCCTTAAATTTGCCACACTTGTTGGGGCTTTCATTTATTATACTGGTGGCAATTATTTATTTTTTACAGAGCACACATATCGAACACATTAACTGTTTGTGGGTGGTGCATGCCTGGATTCTCAGCACTGGGAATGCCCAGGAAGACTGTGAGTGCTAGGGAATGAAATCTTATCTCAAAGTCCAATAAAAGCTGTCTTGTAACAGAATTTGGTTACCTTTCCACGTACATTTCCTCATTTTATTTCTTTTAATATTTTCCTTTCCTCTATGCTTATACCTTATTGTAATTAGAAAACAATCTCTGTAATGATCAAGAACATGTTATACAAACACACTATTTTGTTTTTCCATACACAAGAATTTGTCAAACATTTCACCTTGATGACTGATATTCTGCAAGACCATCTTTTGTGCCTCAAACAGATTATGATAAGCAAACTATTCACCAACGCCAGAGGTTAGGACAGAAAGAGCAAAGACGAGAGTTGACTACAGTCATTT